TGTCTACAAGCCGTCCCTGGCCAACCCTTCACTCACTTCTGGCCCCAGGCAATCACTAATCCAACTTCCTTCTCTACAGATTTGTCTATTCTGAGCATGTTATAGAAATGCAATCCACAATATGTGGTGCTTTGTGACTGGCTCAATTCACTCAGCAAAATTAGTTTAAGGTTCCATATATGCTTTAATAACTATTAGAAATGTGTTCCTTGTATCAGCAAGTTGTATTTACTGTATTCTATGGATATACCATCTTCCTGTAAAATTCTAGCAAATCCAAACTAGTCTATGGTGACTCTGCAGATCCTATCATCTATAGACAACCAATCATTTGTTCCCTGGGAATGGAGGGTGAAAGGGGGCAGCATTTGGGAAGGGGAGGAGGTTGAGATTACCAAGGGAGTGAGAAAACTTTGGAGATGATGGACACATTTATTACTTGTGTGCGGTTCTTGATTCCTTGGTGTATGCTCAAAAATCATACACTTTAAATATATGTAATTTATTGTCTATTGTAATTCTAAATAATGTCTTGAAAAAAATAAAAGACGGAAAGGGGGATGAGACAAAAGGAGGTTGAGGGAGGTTTGTGTGCATGAGTGTAGGTGTTGCATTTTTTCAAAAATTATTTAATTATTTTTCAAGTACAGTTTTCTGTCTTTTACTCCCATCCCAGCCCACTCCCCCAGTGCTCCCCACCTCCCTCCCATTTCCACCCCCCTTAGTTGTTGTCCATGTGTCCTTTATACTAGTTCCTATAAATCCTTCCCCTTTTTCCCTTGAAACTCCCTCCCCTCTCCCCTCTGGTCGCTGTCCCCCTGTTCTCTATTTCAGTGTCTTTGGTTATATTTTGCTTGCTTGTTTGTTTTGTTGTTTAGCTTCCTACTAAAGGTGAGATCATATGGTATTTGTCTTTCAACACCTGGCTTATTTCACTCAGCAGAATGCTTTCCAGTTCCATCCATGTTGTTGCAAAGGGTAGGAGCTCCTTCTTTCTTTCTTAGGTGTTGCATTTTAATCCTTTAAAACACTCTCCATCTATATACGTACATGTACATATACATCTATATCTATATACATCTATATATAGAGGGGGGATAAACATTTTGTTGTTGCTGTTAGATGTTTATCTTGTTTCTCCAACACCCCAGGCACTCTGTTTCCCTGAGTATTGCATCACCTACCTAATTTTGATCTTGGTGTTAGGAGCCCTGAGATGGGCTGGGATTGTTTTATCGTTCCCTGGATCCATTTTTTGTTGTTGGAGCATGCTATACTGTCAGTATCCTGTGAAGGCACTGAAGCAAAAAGCTCTGTTAGGTCTGAGTTTTGTCTTTCTGGGCTCCGAGGCAGGGAGACTCAGCAGTTGCCCCTGGCTTCTTGGGATTCAGACAAATCCTTGATCCTTTTGGAGTTCGAGAATACTCACACATGCTCAATGGTGACCTGTCAGCAAGAGGTCCCCAGGCTCTAAGTTGAAAACTTTTACCTGAATGCACTGCCCTCTTACCCCCCTTCCCCTGTAACCCCATGTTTTCTAGTCCCTCTCAAGCAGTCCTGGGCAGGAAGCTGCTGTTACATCTCTGACAAGTCTCCAAGACAGCCCAAGGCACCCTCCACTGCCTGGCATTAACTCCATGTCCAAACAGCTGGTCTGCCATGGAATGTGTCAGCCTCAGGAGAGTAGATATACCCAGGGATGTCGTAATGTCTCAGGTGTTTCAAGAGATTTGTTTTCTGACAAAAACAGTGGCCGTGTGTATGATATCTAATAGTTCACAGGCTCCCGGAGAGTACAGCTTAGACTGAAGGCAGAGCTATGCAGCCTGGGTACTCCTAACACTTTTCGTTAGAGATTTTTTTTAATTGGTCATTTTAATCTGCAATGGAGTATGGACTCACAGACTGTTGGCGATTGAAATTAAATCTGATTTATCTTTTAATATTGTACTATATTCTAGCGTAATTGAGTAGGGACCGATGCCAGTTGTGTGATGGGCAGTGAGCTTATCCAACATGACAGAGACAGATTTCCAAGAAGACAGAGTCTGTACGTTCAGTGTACAAGGGTGTGAGTAGACCGTATTGGCAACATTTAATTATTTTGTAGGTAATTATTCATTTGAGGAATGCAGCTTTTCAGAGAAATGGAAAAAGAATACAGACCCATGCAATCACTATTTGTCCAAGTACACTGGCTACTGAAAAACCATAATTAGGTTTCCATTAAATTTGCATCAATTGACTTTTTAAAAATAATAGGGAGGAGTTAAATGCATGCATTTAAGAACAGAAAGTTTGAATGTGGCTTAATATTAAAATAGAGGCTGTTTTTTTTAGGTAAAAGTACAACAAGTGATCATTTCTCTGCTTTAAATTAAAAGCTAATCAGAGGTTTAAAAAGAAAGTCACTTAAAATGCAGAGTATCATAAAATACATTTTGAAAACCCAGTGGGAAATTCCATTATAGATATTTTCTAGTCTTACTTGTGGGCTAAATTTTCCGTTTCTACGTAGAACTTCAGTTACCAGAGCTCAGTGACTGTGCTAAATATTGCCTCAGTAGAACAATACATAATTCTGTGTATTTTGTTTGCTAAGCTAATCTTATAAATGTACTTCTATCAGTATTGATAAAATAATAGCAGCTTCTCTGGCGAAATGTATGAACTATATCCAAAACACATGGCCTTAAAAAGAAAGCATGCCACTCTTTGACTTCACAGGGTGGAGAATCTTGTCAAAAATGCACATTAAATAATTGAGTGGAAAGATGGATTACCCCACTCATAAATCTCAATTTTGGCTTGAATTAGCTTCCTTCTAGGGAAAATAATTTTCTTTCTCATCGTAAATACTTTTCTAAGATTTAACCTCACGGACCAAAGCGGTTCTCTTTCAACCACCCAGACACTGCACTTCATCATACTCACCTGGAAAACCCTGGCTCTGGCTTTAAAACCAGACCGTAAAATTCTCTAGTTAACGTTTTGATACACTTTGTTGAAGATGCAACCTGCTGTCTACACCGCACCTGCACCGGTGCAGCCGCACGCAGGTGGAGAGGCACATGGCCCCTGCTCTCTCACTTTCCAAACTGACTATTTTAAATCTCTTTGTTGTCCTCACATCTCAAGCTTTGCTTCCAGTAGATTCACCCAGGAGAGAATATTTTATCGACTCTCATTATCACATACCATGAACTACCTCCAGTAGTGTAGTGCTCTTCATTGTCTGCAGATTCTGAACGAACAGTGAGGCCGGCAGAGCCCGCTGCCTTTATCTGTGCCTGCAATTTCTTTTCCTCTTGCATTTATGGGCACTGATTTCTATCCCAGGAATTGGTTCCTCTTGTAATAGATTATTATTTTTCCCTGTAAAGAAACCATATACTAATTTGGAAGTAAGATAAGAAGATTACTTTGAGCTTTCCTAAAATTATACGAGAGCATTTTCTTATAATCATACTTAAGACAACAACAGTTTGGTGGTTACCAGAGAACAGGGGGGATGGGAGGAGGCCAAAGAGGGAAAAATGAGTTAAGTGATGGAAGGAAACATGACTTGGAGATGGCAAACACACAATACAATATACAGATGATGCATTATAGAATTACACACTTATGTAATTTTATTAACCCATGCCACCCCAATAAATCCAATAAAAAATTTAAAAAGGAAGGGTTTTATAACCCTTGGGGATGTATTTTTTCTAAAAAAAAATTTATTTAAAAGTGAAACATACTGCGAATTAAAAGAAGTTTATAATGAACAACTATATATTTATAACTAAACTTGTACAATTAATGTTTTACTATACTTGCTTTATCACATGTCATTTCATCAATTTACCCCTCTGTATGTCCATTTATCTGTCTTATATTTAGTGCATTTTAAAATAAATTGTAATTATAAAAAATTACATAATTTTGTTTGATGTACTATTTACTATTGATTATGGCCTCAAACTTATAAAGGTCTATGTTAACTTGTAGAAAGCTTGATAATTTGCAAATTATTTCCATCTGGAAAGATACAAAAGATTTCTGTCCTACTGGGAAAAAAATGACTCCAAAGATTATAGGTTAATTATTGTAAGATACTGGTCTGTTGTGTTTATAACTTTTCACCCTTATCCCCACATTCTTTTTTCCCAACCTCTACTTTTTCTGAATCTTTTTCACCATTGTGCTGGTTCTCTCACTAACAGGTAAATAAAGAGTTGTCCCTCACTCTATATTTGTATGAGACTAAGATTTAGTAACTTTCTGGTATTTATGCTTTCATACCCTCACTCAAATATTTTCCATTATCACAGACATGTGCTATTATGTCATCTAAAAGAACCTTCTCGTGACTCTACTTCCATTTTAACCATTATCTCCTCCTTTCCATTTCATGGTGGAACTCCCCAAAAGAATGAATGCACTCAGTACTTTCTAGAAGTCATAATGTTAGACTATCTCAACTCTCCATCAAACTGTCTTACCAAGATCTAATCTTGTCCACAATATTTAATCCAATGATCTGATTCCACATTTTACTTTAGAGCAGCATTTCACACCATTCATCCTTCCATTCTCTTTGAAACTCCTTCAGCCTTCATATCCAGTATACCATTTTTTCCTATATTTTCTTTCTTTTCCACTGGATGCTCTTTTTTATTATTATTAAGTTTATTGGGATGACATTGGTTAATAAAAGTATACAGGTTTCAAGGATAAAACTCTATAATACATCATCTGTAGTATATTGTATTTTATATTCACCACCCCAAGCCAATGGTGATGGAAAGATGGATGGATACTTTTCTTAATTTCCTTTGCTGGTTGTCTATACTTTTTTCCATTGTTGAGTTTTTATTTCATACTCATAAACTTATGCAATCCAGCTAGACTTAGAAGGAGTAAGGAAAATTTGGAACCTGGTGAACTGCAGCAAGAGCATGAAGGTTCTAGAACATTCCTGGCAGATGGGGGTGAAGGGGTGCTCTTCTGAGCTACAGAAAGGACAGACTGGTGGTGAACATGAAACACAAGTCAAATTTACTAGACTTGTCCACAGTCAGCAATGGTGATCTTCTTTCTGGTCTTGCCATTCCTGGACCAAAGTTCTCCATGGCTACCTTGACATCCATGCCATCTTTCACCTGGTGGGAGAAGACCACATTGCTTGCCATCCAACCACTCCGTCTTGGCAGTGCTGATGAAAATCTGGGAAGCATTTGTGTTGGATCCAGCATTTGCCAGGACAAGATGCCAGGACCCCTGTGTTTCGGGGTAAAATTTTCATCGCCGTATTTCTCCCCAGAGATGATGGACTTGTGGTCTGTGCCATTATGGCCTGTGATGTCACCACCCTGGCACATCAATCCCGGAATCATTCTGTGAAAGCAGAACTCTTCATAACCAAATCCCTTCTCCCCAGTGCTCGGAAAAAGAATGATTTCTGCTGTCTTGGAACTTTGTCTGCAAACAGCTTGAAGGAGGTGCAGGCCAAAGGCTTGTGGTGAACAATGATGTTGAAGAACATGGTGGGGTTGAGTAGGACCACAGCTGGGCACAGGGAACTTCGGGGTAGTGGCGTCTGAGAGGCCTCCTTGGCTCTTTTTCTTCTCCCAGACTCTTCATGGTGGTAGCTTCAGAGCAAGTCTGCGACATAAGAATCTCAATGACTGTATGTTCTGTACTTTAAATCTACCACTAATCAAATACAGTGTTGGGTTTTTTTAAAAATCAACTGGCTATTTAAAAATGCATTGTTGATCACTTGCATTTCACATGTGTATTAATCTCTACACAAACCTTCATGAAGTAGTAGTGAATTTAAATTAATATTAATCCATAAGATATATTAATTATATAATACAACTTCTAAGATGATTTTCTACCATATTTAGAAACAAATTTGAACTTTTATTGTAACTATACCTTTCTTGTATTTGCACATGATAGAATTATTAGGATTTGCTTTGACATTGTTTCATAACTACCATAATGTTTCCTTCAAACCAATTGTTCTGGCATTTTTACAAAAATGTGGGAATATTTAACATATAATTATATTTTACAGATTTTCTCTAAAAAGGTAACGTATCTCAACATTCAACAGGAGGACTTTTACATCCCTTGGAAATCCCGTTTAACTGAAAAGGCAATTTAATTGTGATTTTTAGCTTAGTGACTTGCTTGCTGGATAGAAACTCTGTATCACTAACACATGAAGTATGGTAGTTACCCTTTTGCACTTGATTATAGATGGAGGACTTCCGGTTAATAGAACAACCCCGCTATGACCATTTTAACTAGAGCACTAAACTCCCTCAGAAAATAGCTGGTTGGAAGCTAATAGTTTCTTTTGTGAAGTAGAAAAAGTCAGAATCTTCTACTTCATAGTAAGTAATGACAGTTTCTTTCATCATACCTTTGATAATATCTGTAGATTTTATGAACATTTGTTCATGTTACTCTGTTAGTAAGGGATTAAATAATCCTTATATTTTGTGTATATATGTACAAATGAAGAGGGTGCTTTATAAAAATAACAGTACAATTTAGATTTTATGTTTTGTCACCACGACCTCCTACGTTTATGAAATTCTTCCTTTACAATTGTTCCTGACCTACTTATAGCTCAATGAAAATCTCATTGTAAATAATCTCACTCTATTTTTAAACCTCAGCCATACACCATGTCTTCTAAATCATTCACCTTTTAGTTCTGGATAACTTTAGGCTGTTTCCATAAAATGAAATACTCAAGGACTAGTATTTAGAACAATTTGAAATATTTAAATAACAGGTTGTACAGGCTATTTTGTACGAAAGATGATAAATACATTTTGAGCAAAATATACTTGAATACTTAGATTTCCAATTGTCGGTGTATTCTAGGGATAATCTTTTCCCATAGTGTACAATAGGTGTGCTGTGTGCCTGGTTTTACAACTGAGTTCATCGCGTATGCTATACTCTCTTTTAATTTAGAGGCTGGATAATGGACTCATTTCCTATTTAATTATTTCTAGGTTAAGGGAAAGCTCTCTGTTTATTGGTGGAGTGAAGCCAACCATATTAATCAACCTCTGAGGCTGAGGGCCACTAGGTCAGGAATGTTCTCATCATTATCGCTGCAAAAAACACACTACCAGCCCTGTTTTAGATGCTCCAGTTAATAGAGACTCAATAAATAGAAAAGAAGGATGGAAGGGAGGGAGGGAGGGAGGGAGGGAGGGAGGGAGGGAGGGAGGGAGGGAAGGAAGGAAGGAAGGAAGGAAGGAAGGAGGGAGGATTTCAGTTTTGTCTGAAGACCCATACAGTTAAGAAAAGTTTCAGAGTAAGCTCTCTGAGAATTTGGGTTTCACACCATCCACTATTTCCTTTAAACATAGATGTATGAAATTATGAGGAAAATTAGAAATTTCTACTTGTTATTGATAACTTTTCTAGTGTCCATAACTTCAGTTTTCTGCAAATGCATGCCATTTCATATAAAAAACCATTTTGTAATAACAGTATATCACGTCAGGCAATGCATTTTTGAAGGCATATTGTTCTTAAATGGTAAAATATCGTGCCCCTTGGGTGCCTGCTTGCCAAAACACCCGAGGCATAAAATAATTACTCAGAATACACTGCCTGTTTGTCCCATTGTTCAATATTCACTGAGTCTCCTTTCATGTATTAACTCATTTAAGTGATTTCAATCATTTTCAAGACAATTACATTGATAAATTAAAGGCATATTTGCATGGTCTGGTCTAAGAGTTCCCTTTGGCCAATGTTCTAGATTTTCTTTTTCCTCTGTCTACTTCCTTGAACTGCATTGAAAGAAATAAACTGACACAGTGCATAATGGAAAATGAACATTCAGAAGTTTATGTTTTAATGTAAATGAAACTTCTTGAAAACTCTTGATCAGATCTCTGGTTCTCATTAATATGCACAGCACTACCATTTCCCAGACTGCATCTCGAATCTCCCCTATTGTGGCCTGTGTTTTCCTATGAGAAGAGTTCCTTTCCTGGCACCCACTATAAGAAATGTCTCCTTGCAATAACCCCTGAGAATCTTTTAAATAGTTTTTTCTTTATTTTAAGCATATTTACTCTTTCCTTTTTAGTGATCAGATCATATACAATTGGAAACACCTGTCTCTTGAAAGATCTCAGTCCAGATTTTGTTTTTTAAATCTGAAAGGAGTATGAGATAATAATAGTAATAGCAATAATAAAATAATAATACCTCATTGAAGAAGTATGAACATTTAGACTATGAAGAGATACGAAGTCTGTGGGGAAACCTTAATTATATATCTTTTTTATTTTTCAGTTAGTATTGCTTGGTTTGAAACCTCAGAACTGAACAACTGTTTAAAGTGTATTTTTCTCTGAATTCCAGTCATTTATTCAGGAGTCAAGGACAGAGGTTCTGAGTAGAAGCTGGCAATAAGAACACCTTGATCAGTTTTTAGGTTGACTGTTCTCCCAGAGTCAGTAGTCAGTGGAGTGAGAAAGAAAAACATCTCAGCGGGGTCTGATGAATTACCAAAATTCTGGATTCAGATTCAGAAAACTATTTTAGCCTCTCTAGGATCATTGGCTCAACTAGAAAATAGATGAACACCAATCAACCACTTTTCTAAGTAATTGCATAATTTTATGAGCAATAAAATATTTTACTTTTTGTGATATACTCATTACATAAATGAATATCGTTATTTCCAGAGGTAGGACATTTTTTCCCCCCAAAGAGCATTTTTTAAGTTGTCATGAACATGCGACCTTCATTACCAGAAGTTATTTCTTAACCTGTGCAGCAAAGATTCTGCCCCTCATGAACAGACTAAGTAGACAACCGCATCTTCTTTTCTGCTGGTCTTCATCCCTGTCCCTCACTCTGATCCCAATAGTATTGGGACAAGGAAAAGGCAGAACAAAATGAATGGAAAGGGGAGAATCTTGTCCTTTCAATTTTAGTTAAAAATTACATTATTATCAATTACGTTTCCCGCTTAAAAATGATAACTTCTAATCCTTCTAATTACAGTTCGCTCAGAGTCCCCACAGGCAAAGGGTTCCAACTTGTTAGATGACTTCTTTTCCCACAGTGGTCACTCAAGAAATCACAGTCATGGAATGTTTGAAATTAAAATTCCTTAAGTACTAATTTAATGTAAATTTATTAAAATTGTTGCATGTTTGAGGATATTTATTACATTACAAAATATTGAATAAATACCTATGCTTTGATGTTTTCTGACCCCATTGGAAGGACTCAGAGTTTAATCTAATGGTTTTCTTGGTACAGAGGAAGGCCTTAGTGAATGCCCACATAAACCTATACCACCTACTGGGAAAAAAGAAAGTAAGAGTTCAGTAAGAATGTTAAAGTCATTTCACTGTTCATATTTTTTTATCTTCTTTTTCTTAGATAAGTCTCTTTAACATTTCATATAATAAGGGCTTGGCGATGATGAACTCCTTGAATTTGATCTTATCTGAGAAGCACTTTATCTGCCTTTCCATTCTAAATGAAAGTTTTGTTGGATAGAGCAATCTTGGTTGTAGGTCTTTGGATTTTATGTCTTGGAATACCTCTTTCCAGCCCCTTCTTGCCTGTAAGGTCTCTTTTGAGAAATCCGCTGACAGTCTGATGGGAACTCCTTTGTAGGTGACTGACCACATCTAAAATAAAAGCAAGCTAAAAGGACAGCTAGATCAGGAGCAGAACCATAGAAATGAAGATCTCATGGAGGGTTAGCAACAGGGGAGTGGGAGGAGAAGTGGGGAGAAGGTACAGAAAATAAGTAGCATAGATGGTAGGTAGAAAATAGATAGGGGGGAGGGCAAGAATAGTATGGGAAATATAGAATCTAAAGAACTTGAGACATGTGGTCATAAACTAAAGGGGGGAGAATGATAGGGGTGGGGGGTGCAGGGTGGAGGGGAATGAAGGGGGGAATAGAACAACTGTAATGATATAATCAATAATAATAAAAAAGAATGTTAAGGTCAGATGCAGTGAAAGAGGGGAGAAAGATCCCTGATAATATTGTATCTCAGAGGCAGTACAGAATGTTGCACAGGTTAAATTGGGTACCAGTGCCCCTTCTTCCTGCTTCTTCCAAACTCTACATACATAAGATCACACTAAAATGCATATGAAGGCAAGGAAAATGAAACCAAAGAGAAACCACCATTTTGAGATTTTAGGGAGGTGAATTAAGGTGATGGATTGTAATATATTGTAGCCACTCCTGCTACTTGCAGTAACCTTGCAACTATTCCAGAGGATAAATTTTAGCTAAAACTATTTCTTAAAAAATTACATATAATTTTCTACATATTTATATTGTATTATAAATGTAATTGTGTAGATTAAG